TGGTCCACTTCTCGGAAAAAATGGATCATATATGCTAATATATGCTAAAAAGCTACCTGTGTACTGAATTTTAAGCAAATCGGACCGTAAATACGATTTTTTCGAATAGATCAGTCCCTGGACCACTTCCCGGAAAAAATGGATAACATATGCTAATATATGCTAAAAAGCTACTTACGTACCAAAGTTTAAGCAAATCGGACCATAATAAGATTTTTTCGAATAGAACGGTCCCTGGTCCACCTACACGAAAACATGGTGGTTACCGAAAGCTATTTATATAAAAAATTTCATGAAAATCGGACCAGCCGTTCACGAGATTACCTGTTACAAAAAAAGGGGGCTTCTCTTTATATAATTAGTATAGAAGTATAGATATCGATTGCATACAATTTTAATTCACTCGACCTTTCACAATTTTTTAATTACGTTAAATCCAATTAAATTTTCAGCGTGCTGACGCTGTACAAATAAAATGAAAAATTTATGACACTTTTGTTGCTTTTTTCAGAAACAACCGTTAGAATGAAAATAAAAATATATGACAACATGAAGTTTGGACAAAAAACTGATTTCTAAGCCTATTTTGGTTCACAAATTTTTACATAAATTTTTTTTATTTTGGCCTGTGGCAGTAACTACTGTGCGGTGGTATGGAAATTAGTTTTACGGTGCATCCCGTATATCGCTATGTTTATCGCGTTCCCGGCCGTGATATATGTAAGTGTCGTAGGTTCAAAAGTTGTGGTAGAAATTGTTAAAAAATGGCAAAAACCGTGACAATGTAAAACTTTTTCGCAGTTTTTGCAAATTTTTTACAATAAAAAGTGATTTATTTTAAAAAACCTTCGTTATAACAAATATGGGAAATTATATTCTCTACATATTTCTATTTAACCATTTTTTTACGAAAAATTTAAAATAAGCCAAAAAAGCAAAAAAAAAAAAATATCCAAGATTGCGGAATGTTCCCAAATGAAATTTAGGGGCGAAACTGTAGATCCCAGATTTACGTGTCAAATAGAAGTAAACTACATGAAAAAATCGCTGTTAGAAACATTTTATTTTTTGTTCCTTCCAAATTTATGTAATTTTATTGGGCTATGTTTGGCACGTTCTCGGCCGTGATCTAAGCGCCATACAAAAATAAAATGTTGGTTTAACCCTAGAACACACACCCAGAAAATACCATGTAAACACACACCCGGGATACGTTTGTACCCGGGACCTTATTTTGCGGTTTTTTTAATACTTATTCAACCGATTTCTATGATTTTTTTTTTGAAATGTATATTTTAATATATAACAAGTATTTTGTCTTTTGTTTCATTCGAATATTCCTACTGGTTCCAGCGATATGGGCAAATAAAGTCAGGACATGCAACAGTGGATTTTTGTTTTTGTTGTTGTCCTGATAAATGCAAAACAAAATAATATAATTTATAATAATATACTTGTAGAGTAACAACGAATACACATTTTGGTTTTTATTTCATTGAAATATTCTACCTGGTTCAAAAGATATGTGCAAAAAGGTCGCGCAAGGTATGGGTACGTAGGTAGCAAATACACTGGTATAACTGGTTTTTGTATTTTATATGCAGCTGCAAGGGTTGTTTTCACACGAGGTGTTGTTATAAATGCTGCCTGTTGATATTTTCATTATTGTTTTGGTGCTCAAAAGTGTAAGAAGTGAAAATAAATATAACTGAAACTATAAATAACTGGATACGAAATGACTTCAAGAAGAAACGAATATTTATCAAGTGCAGCATATAGAAGGTAAAAAATGTAAAATAAGCAACAATGTAAACATATACTAATTTTTTTTATTATGCAGGCTAACTGAGGAACAGCGAGAATCATATATACAATCTTTATTTGATGAAATTTGTGACGATGACGCTCCCTATGACTTTGACTCAGAAGATGAAGAAGAAATTCAAATCAATGACATTGAAATTGCTGATGACGATGCTGAAGTTTCGCAAAGTGCCGCAGAAGTATTACCTGATTTTGCGGACTATGAGGATGATGAAGAAGACGATGAAGAAGAAGAAGTAGAAGAAAATAATGAATTACCTGCTAGTGCCGAAAAATTTGTTGCACGTGATGGTACTGAGTGGATGAAAGAACCAAATGTAAGTCGTCAGGTACTCAGACAAAATATTATAAGAGAACGTTCTGGACCAGCTAGATGCACTGAAATGTTGTCAATAGAGCAAACATTCAAATGTTTCATGAACGTTGAAATGGCTGATATAATTATGCGCCACACAAATAAGTTAGCAAAAGAAACTTATAATGCTTACAACAATGCGCATCCAAACACAAATCCTAAGTCATGGACGCCTGTGTCAATAACAGAGCTGTATGCATTTTTTGGCATACTTATTATGACTGGTGCGAACCATAGCAATGGAGAACATGTTCGAGATTTATGGAGCGTCAAAAACTATCCTTTATATCGCGCCACAATGGGAGTCAACCGTTTCTGTTCGATATTGCGGTTCCTAAGATTTGACGATAAAAACACTCGTGCAACACGCTTACTAACTGATAAAGCAGCACCGATCAGTGAGTTGTGGACGATGATGAACAATAATCTTGCTGCACATTACAAGCCCAGCTCATGCTTGACGATTGATGAACAATTATTTCCTTACCGTGGACGCACACGGTTTACGCAGTACATACCGTCAAAACCTGCTAAATATGGTATCAAGGTTTGGTGGATTTGCGATGCCACAAATGCATATCCACTGCATGGACAAATATATACTGGCCAAGCAGAAACTGGTAGGGAAACGAACCAAGGCGAACGAGTGGTGAAGGATTTGTCTGCCAAATACCAAGGAAGTGGCCGAAACATTACAATGGACAATTTGTTTACGACCTTGCCTGTTGCAGAACTGCTTCTCACCTGGAAACTCACGATCGTTGGAACTTTGCGCAAAAACAAATCATATATTCCTCAAGAAATGAAGCAACAAAACAGGACAATTGGTTCAACGACATTTGGCTTCAAAAATAATGTGACAATGTGCTCTTATGTTCCCAAAAAAAATAAAGCAGTAATTTTGCTTTCGACCATGCATAATGATGCTGAAATAGCTGACAGTGGGAAACCTGAAATAATTGAATATTATAATCGTACCAAAGGTGGTGTTGATCGAATGGACCAAATGTTTGCGGAATATCCAACACAAAGACAAACAAAACGATGGCCACTAGCGATGTTCTTCAACATGTTGGACATTACAGCTCTTGCAGCCTACATTGTCTACGATTTGAATAACCCTATGTTGCCTTGGAGAACAAACAACAAGCGTAAGCAGATCCTGCGCAGCTTGGCTGAAGCATTGTGTATGCCCATTATTGAAGCCAGAGCCATAAATCGTCAAGTGACGCGAAATTTTTCGACTAAAATTGCTATTGAAGCATATTTCAACCGACCGGTGGAATCAATGGTGTCAACAGCAGCATCAACATCTGCCGCAGCGCGCACGCCAAAACCTGTGTCCGGATCTTGCTATTTATGTTACGCACAAGAGGAAAAACGCCGTAGAAAAACCAGAAAGCTGTGCGACAAATGTAAGAAGCCAATGTGTCTTGAACATTCGGTCACATCAACAAATTGCTCTATTTTCCATGATTTTAATTAGATATAAGATGTATTTTTATAATTTTTATAATAAAAGTCAATAATATAATGTGTGAAATGAATATTTTTAATTTTTCAAATAAAAAAATAATATAAAAAATGTTTTTTTTTTTATTATTATGAGGATTTTTACTATTGGGGTACAAACGTATCCCGGGTGTGTGTTTACGTATATAATGTGTTTGGAAGGCTGTAGCTCCTGAACCAATGGTCCGATCTGGTTCAAATTGAATTTGAACTCAAAACTAAATAATCTTCCTAGATCCGAAGTTAGCGGTATAGAGGTATAGCGGTTCAAAAGTTACAACACTTCAAAGTTGAAAGTGGATACATTTGTACCCGGGTGTGTGTTCTAGGGTTAAAAGTTGCGAGAAATGAAATTCTCTACAACTTTGAAATTTCAATATGCTATGTAATTTCAACAGAAATTGTCAAAAAATGGCAAAAACCGTGAAAAAGTAAAATTGTTTCGCAGTTTTTGCTAATTTTTTATAATAAAAAATTCTATTTTTAAAAAACCTTCTATATAAAAAATGTGCGTAATTAAATTCTATTGTATTTAACCATTTTTTACGAAAAATGTAAAATATGCTTGCAAATCGCAAAAAAAACCAAAAAAACTTTAAATCCAAGATGGCGGAATGTTGCCGAATGAAATTTAGGGGCATGATCTACTTGTCAAATAGAAGTAAACTGCATCAAAAAATTGCCGTTACAAATTTTTTATTAAAGAAAAAGCCTAATTTTACTGGGCTATTTGAAGAGCATTTTCGCTAACGCTTGTGATTTGGATTGACGGCTGGTGATGGCAAATTTTGTTCTCGACCGCAACTAGAGTTTACTACGCTGCTAGAGCAAAAAAAAAAACCGTGAACGATTTTCGTTCAGTTTTTCTTGAAGTTTTATGTACTTTTATTGAAAATTTTCGAGTATTCAGATTTTAAAATGACTACAAATTTTTTTAATCTTAATCCTAATCTTAATTTTATTCGTGGCCAGCCATTCCCGTCATCCCCTACCTCTTCTGTCGCTCTTTCGTTTGGAATTAGAATTGCATCGACATTTTTACTTATTCCCAACCGAACGCAAAAAAGTTTCGCTTAAAAAAAAAAGAAAAAAAACACAACTGTTGCTGTTTCACAATGGTTTGGGACGTACAAGCATATCTTGTGAGAAGAGACTTTGTTTTTCGTGAGATTTATAAAATACTTGAGTGATTAACTTTACCTACATACATACACATGTTTGCTTATAAGCGTTCGATATATACATATGATTACAAATGTGCATACATTAGAATGTGTATTTAGCGCATACATTGGCAATCAGATCTTACCTCAACTGTGGGAAGACAAACTTCGGTCACACCCTGTCTTTGATTTGGGGACTAACGGATTTCAGAATGGCGTAATCTGCGGTGGAATTTTTTTGTTCCTCAGAACGATGAGACAACATCAAAATCGAGTTGTCTTCAAACTAATTTCGGCAAGGGATGACGAAAATTTCTTCACTTATACACGTTGAAGGCTTTTAAAATATTCACTTTGATAATAAGACTGTAAAACTTCGATAAACACAGATTTACACTTTATCTTTTCGCTGAAGCACCAATGATACATATATATGTAGCTAACGGTATGAGAATAGGAACTCTGCACAGCTTCGTTTGTTATCACAGAAAAGTTTCAATGCGTTCTCGTTTTCGAGGATATTTTTTAAAGTTCTTTCAAATAATAACATACGAATATTTGCAATCGCATACGTTTAGCGCGAGACTAAACAACTTAATGGAAAGGCTATGCTCAGGAAAATGAATTGTGAAAAAAGACAATTGCATGTAGAATAAGATAATAAGCACGAGCAATTTAATAATTGAAACACAAGCCTAAGTGTCGTATTCACATATGTATGCAGTATATATGTACATATGTTGATAGATCTATCCGCACTTTAAGCATTATATAAATATAAACATACATAAGTATACGAGTAAAAATACATAAACAAGAGGCGGCGTCAGTGATAGAAGTTTAAGTGTGCATACAAATACATATGTATGTGTAAGTGTTGTCTCGATTTCAAGTAACTACTTAAGCTACTTAAATTCATTCCCCTCCTTTATTGCGATTTGTACACAAGTACATATGTAGAGTATATCATACGCGGAGCTTCCATTCTCAAAGGTACCAACTTGACAGTTAGCGGTGTTTTGCATCTGCAGTTCAATTCAATCAACATATGTATTAGAGATTAGGTAAACTAATTTAATCACATTTACATTTCTTTATATTTATGTACATACATTTTTCATTCATAGTTATAAACGTCCAGTTCTAGCGATTACAGACCCTAAAAAATTCTGACAGCGGTACGCAGTGTGGAAAATGAAATTTATTGTCCAATATCTAATATGTATGTCGAGAACTAAAATAAATATAAGGTGACCAGAATTTTTTAGCACACCAGGAGGACAAATTCTCCACATTGAAAACACAAAAAATTTGTTTTATATTAATTTTCACACATAAATAACGAATAAGTTAACATTTTTAAAAAAAGCAAAAACAATTCAAAGTTGCTCTAAACACAAGTTAAACAAGTTGATAATACACTGAGTTGCATAATTACAAGACCGATACACATTACCGTTGATTTTTGGCATTTTTTTTTTTGTTGACAGTGTTGTTCATTTTCTTCCATATAAAAACAAAAATCGAATACATATACCTTGTAAGGAAGAAAATGGGTGACACCGTAAAAAAACGCCAAAAATCAACGCATATATAGATAGTTATGTATGTATATAAACTTTTATTCTTATTTTTTATTTCTGCTGAACTTCGGTCCCAGCTGCGTTATTCGGTTTACAGGATAAATGTTCTGTAGATGCCACTATTTAATTCCTATGTAGAATTGCTCGGTGATTCCGAAAATGTAGTTAATTTTTTTCCATGGATACGTTTTCGAGATATTTTTAATTTACCGTTATTCAGCTTAAAGCGAAAAACTTGGTTCTTTTAATCACGTATATCTTACGAACCAATTTAAAAATCTTAATATAAAATACGGCTAATGAAAGCTAATAAAATTTTCCATAAATCGTATATATGTAATCACTTTCCGATGGGACTTATAGTTTCTGACAAATTAATTAGTCATTCCATTTTTTTTATTGAAAAAAAAAAAATATCAAGCTATAACAGAAGAAAAATTTTAAAAATAACAGGTTCTGTGTCAAATTTTTGCATTTGTGCCTAACAAGCCTGACCTGTTATTTTTTAAGTATAGTATAACTCTGACTAAATATGAGTAATTTTTTAAATCTCAAACCTCTAACCGCCAAAATAACGTAAGCGACATTTTTTTCAAAATTTTCTGTTTGAGGCAGAAATATTCCTAGGGCATCTATGTAGATGCATTTCTTCATCAAAAAGAAAATTTTGAAAAAAAAATTTGGCTTACGTTTTTGGCAGTTAGGGCTCGATATGTATGTATATACATGTATAGCCTGCGTGAATTTCGTAGTCGTCTACTACAATAGCTCAAAAAAAAATAAACATAAACAGTTATTACTTCTTTTATTAGTTAGATTTTTTCCTTTAATAATATAAACATGTATTATCGTCCGGGGCCGGTACTAAATATAAACGAATTACCAACGCTATCATCCTTATTCAGTGCTTTTGAAAAATACCAGGTATTTTCGTAGTATGTGGAGAATGTCCTTTTTTTTATAGAAAAACTGTCTTTAGACGAAGTTGTTTTGCTATACAGTTGTAAGGATCAAGTGAATGCGTAAAATAGTTTTTATTGTTTTTATCCGACTTCCAAAAAAGGAGGCGGTTATCGGTTCGTCGGAATAATTGTTTTTTTTTGTATGTTACGGCATAACTTTGGACCACGTCAGCCGATTTCGATAATTCTTTTTGCATCGGAAATGTAGCGTCTCAGAGGTGGTCCCATACTAATCTGGTTTAGATCCGATCATTGGATCATGAAAAATATATATATACATTTTTTTTTAAGTCGGTTTTTTTTTGCTAAAAATTACTTGTAGTAATAAATGTATGTAACATACGCATTAGGGCGGGTCAAATTTTTTGCATCAAAACCACATCGCGGTTGTGGTTATTTGGATCATTTCAAGCATTTTTGCCCAAGAAACCATATATCTAATATGAATTTCGAGCCAGCGATTTTTTCTCTCTACATAGTTTTGTTTTTCAAACAGTGGCTCATCTGTTGAAACAGCTGTATTAAAAACTAGCCAAAATGTGTATCTGGGGGTTTTTGGGATCGACGAATCCATTTTTGACATTAATTTTTTCTTTTGAGACACCAGGTTTTGTTTCGGGTGTATTTCATGACCTTTTTTTAGCACCGTGTAATTAACCTCTACTCGCGAATTTATCACAGGGCGCCTGTCACATGTTCAATATTTATTGTGATATCTGGATTGTGATCAATATTGATAGATAGACTGACAAACAGTGGTTTTGTTAAACAAAACTAAGTTGTTTTTTAGATACTAATATCTAGCCTCATATAAAACTCATACTTAGTTTTATTCAATCACCCTCAGTTTTCCTTAAAAATTTACTGAAGTGATAACGCGTATTTTGCTTACCAAAGTGTGCTTCTGATAAATTTCCGTTAAATTATTATTGTCATTACAATAGTATTTTTTGTGATTGTCGTTTCTACAAATCGTAAGAAGATGCCCAGAGCGTATGTATGTGTAACTTTGATAACTTTTGTTATATTTGCGGTCAACTAACAATTAAAAGACAATGTCCTAGTAAAAAAAAAACAGATATCCCCAAAAATAAGCGATGCCAAAATAAAAAAGGAAAATTTGTAGGGCAACAAATTAGAGACCTATTGGCTGAAGAACAGCATAGAGAAAAACTTAATCCGATCGAAAAATCCGCATGGATATGTTTTCGAAATGTTGTTCGAAATTTTCTTGGATCCGAAAATTTTCTTCTTCCGAATACTATGAAGAGTTGGTCAGCAACTTTTTAACAGCCTATAAGAACATGGGATGCAATATGTCTCTCAAGATAAACTTCTTACACGCATATTTCAATTTTTTCTTAAAAATTTTAGTGCCGTTAGCGGCGAACACGGCGAGGGGTTCCATCAGGATATATCTAACATAGAAACATGGAACCAGGGTAAATGGAGTGAAATATGTTAGCTGACTACTGTTGGACACTAAACAGAGATGTATCTGATGCTAAATACTCCCGAAAATTAAAATAATATATATTTTTCTTCAATTAATACAGTTTTCAAGTGTATGTCTTTAAATTTTACTTAAATAATGTGGAAGAAAATTGCTCATGGATTCCATTATCATCTTAGAAGGAAAATTGTCCATCCATTCCATGGTCATCTTAGAAGAAAGTGTGCCCATGCCTTTCATTGTCATCTTAAAAGAAAATTTGTGCATGTCTCCATGATCATCTTAGAAGAAAGTGTGCCCATGCCTTAAATTGTCATCTTAGAAGAAAATTTGCCCATGCATCCATGGTCATCTTAGAAGAAATTGTGCCCATGCTTGCCATTGTCATCTTAGAAGAAAGTGTGCCCATGCCTTCCACTGTCAAAAATTTTTATGTATACCGACAGTCTCAGTCAAATAGTTTCAGCGCTAAAAGGTTGTTAGTGATCTCGGAACGCAGATTTTGCACCTGTACGGTTGTCGATTCAATTGTATTACCTCCAAATAGTACCTAGTCTTATGATTTATTACTTTTCTAAGAACTTGTAAATATTAAAGGTATTCTTTATAACATTTACTTTAAAAAAGTTCCTTTTAAATTTTTCTGTTATACTTAGAATTCTTTGCTCTGGCTGTGTTTTTCATCTATACCATATGAAGTCCCGGTAGTAATAATCTGCATTAAAGCAAGTTTCCTCATACGTGCTACACTATTTTATGTAGGTTTTTCGAAATCTAGGTAGGTAGGCAATACTGAACCATTAAGGAGCAATATTTTTCCGGCAGCGTAAAATTGCTACCGAAAGCCGAAGACATCGACATTATCGGCAAAGACAAGGCCTACGACTGTGCGCCTCATCGGAATCCAAATATAAAAACGCGTAGGTCTGGTGGTGAATGAGAATAAAACGAAGAATCTGCTGTCAACAGACATATCAGTAACAATATAAGCCTTGAAATCCAAGTGGCCCCACTTTAGACTCAGTACGAAATTGAGAAGTCAAGTCCCCTCTGGTCGCACAAAAATCACTGGCCATAATAAATTCATTACACCCGTGCAGGTGTATGCTGTTGGAGAAAGATTCTGCTGAAGATTTACGGGCCTCTACGCGTTGGCGGTGGTGAATCGGAGGACGATAGAACGATGAGCTGTATGAGCTTTGCAACGATATAGACACAGTGCGGTAGATTAATATATGGCGGCTTCCCTGACCGGGGCATAACGTACGAGTGGAAAATAACGCTGCTACTCTGAAAGTATACAACGCATGTCGCGAAGCTAGTAACAAAGGAAGAGGAAAGCCTCCTCTGCGATGGTGCACAACGGACGATGAGCGCCCTTTATCGAACCCAACCAGAATCGCTTAGGCGGTTACAGCGACAACAAAGTGAGACAGAAAATTCTTTAAACAGACATACACATGTACATTTCCGCGCCGTTCTATTAAAAAAGCTTCAGGGTCAGTTTTTTAGTGGGAGTTTAAACTTAGATCACGTAAACTGTGTTTAAAATAAACAGCCGGATAATCTTAGTTCGAGCCTTTAAACAGAGGTTAAGCCAAAGCCGTGTAC